AATTAGAAATACCACACCTCCCATAAAGTTTAAGATATTTACAAAAAACTGAAATGGATAATCCGAAATCGAGGATAATCCACTTTAGTTAAACAGGCCGATTATTCTCTGTATTGAGTTATGTGCCAAATACTCAGCATGCTGTAGCTTCTTTATGCTGAAAAATATCTTTCAGGTGCGAAGGGCTCTTCATAAATGGAGCAGAATCAAGAAATTGCTTTACACATATTTTCCTTTATGTTGCATCAGATGTGAGCAACTTTTTCATGCATAACACTTAAAGACAAAAGAGGTTTACTTTTATGGATTAAAACTAAAGAAACTTGTGCGAATCTTTTGAGCATCTGATGCTAATTTTTATGGTATTTTCTCGTACTTTTTATTTCATTTATCAACGTGAAGATTTTTGGTATTAAAGAGCTTTTCACATTCTGTAAACTTTCAAGTATTTAAGCTCCAAAAAAAGAGGGCCCAAAGGAGGCACACTCGTGTATCAAATTCAAATAATTAATCAAAAATTCTTTCCTGCATATCCACAATAAATGTTTTTTGACAATTTTATAAGCCTTCCAACTAGGTTAGAAAGGAACAAATTCCCATGCAAGAATTTTTAAGTATTTCGCATACTTGAACGTATGTATTTATGTAAGTATCACAAACACGTGTCATGTCATTTCTCGTTCCCATTTACAACCGAAAAAAAAGTTTAATTTTGATGCTCTAAGAAGAGAACTTTGTGAAAGGATCAAAATTTCATTTTAAAAGCTTATCTGGGGATGATTTTCGACATGGGGTTTATTGAGGTTGTTTATGGATACTTGTGAATTTTCATTATGTCCATTTATTAGGTATGAATTTACATTGAATAGTCCAAGGATTCAAGGATATTTTGGTGGAAATTTATTAGATCAATGACCATAGTTTGGGGAATATTGAGATGGAATGGCTTATTCGAGGTTCCACAACGTTCAGCTATACGCTAGTGTGGTATTCTCACGGCTTTGTTGGCATCGAAAGATTAAGACCAACCCTTCCTACACCCTCCTACTCTTAATTGAGTATAAGATCTACGTATCCAATGTCATCTTGCTGCAAGTACAGCAAAAAGTATCACTTCTCAACTATAATTTTGTCATCATTAACTAATTATCTTCATAAGCATGCTTACCTTAATATTAATGCATAAATTTCCTTGCTGTTGCTGGAATTTCTTACTATTACCATAATAGAAGCAAATTGGCAACATCGCGGTGTAGTTATTCTCCCATAAAAAGCTTCAACTCTTATCTACACGACCTATATGAAGTCTATTGTGAATGTCATGCTTTCGTGAAAATAAAAATGCAAATTTTACTGCCATGCATTATCACGAAGGCGTTAAGAAAATGAAAGAATAATTTAATATGGAACAGATAAGCTTTTATGGAAGTAATTTCATTGAAAGGAATTCATAATGTGAAATTTTTCGATTCTATCGTAAAATTTTGATTAAATTTTCTTCTTTTTCTCAATTATTCGTAGAAGTGAAGCTGAATAATTTATTGATTTACACCTTACATGATACTTAATTCAAGAGTTTAAATGCATAAATCAAATTATCATAAAATATTGCCAAATTGTTTATATTGATTGAATTTTTGAATAAATTTTCGAGTGTTTACTTGTCAGGAAGGATTTTTGGTAAGTGATGCATTATTTATTAGCTGTTAAAAGACATTGTTCAATAAATTAAGGATTCCGAATGCTGATGAAATTATTGTTGCTGTTTTAAGGTTGTTTCTTACTGGTTTTATTCCCTAAAATATCATAATTGCCACAGATTTGTGTAAGGAGGATGTTGGCAGTTTACAGCTACAGAATTTAATTCCAAACTTCAAAATTATCCCATCAAAACATATGCTCCACTTTAATAAGCATGAGTTTATCTTATATCTCCATAAATTATGGTAAAGCATTCATGCTGTTCAAAAAATCATCTCAGTCAAAGACACGAGCACATTTATCTGTCATAAAGTATATCACATAAATGTTGTTAAAGACGTCACCTTGAAGAATTCATTCTTTAAAATTTCTACTTAAACAGCCACCTGGAAATGATCTGCCCTAATTTAACTTCCGTCTTATCACTCTTGAAAAAAAATCACTAGACATACTTTTTGGGTAAATATATGCTGAGAAAATTTACATCACATTTCCTTCAATATATGCAATTTTGTCGAATGATGAATGTGAAAAAAGCGAGAATCTAGTTCATTTGCAAACTTATTCATCTTATGGGTAAGCTGTGTAGCATCTATGATTGCACACTTCAAGATGAATGAAAATGTTGCTTTGGATGTGCCGATAAAAAGCTATGAATGATGTGCTTTAATGTTGGAGACATCTCAAATTTCAATATGGAAGTACGCAAGTAAGTTTTGTGTCATAATTTCTCACATATGCAGCATATCCAAACCAAATAATTACGCAATTGATAATGTTTTTGGCTATAAAAATCAACAAATGTAAAGCCACATCGACCAGACGAATAAATTTATTGCTAATTCATGAGAACAATTGTCCTACATTACGGATAGACTAACGCATACGTTTATATGGATATAACGTTCAGTATGTAATGACGTCATTTAAAATTCATATAATGACTCTCTCTTCAATACAATAATGTCATTACCATATTCAGTAACTTGATCGAAGACATTATGACGGCAGTACTTGTTACATTATTAATTGATTATTATCTTCTATCCTAGACCATGATGACTAATCATTTTATAAGAGCTAACTTGTCATAAAATCTCATAAATAATTACTCATGAAATTGCAATTCTATTTTTAAACGCAAGCAGCAAGAAGCTGTGAGGAAATTATGAATGGAAATTCAATTGTATTGTGAATTGAATGCTTGAGATAAGAGGTGTTGAGGAAAATATTGAAGTGGCAAAACTATTATGGCACCAATAAACTTTTTTAACGAAAAAAAAACTTTTGTGCTTTTGCGGGTGGATTGGAACTTTATTTTGGATCGACAATTTGTGTGAAGGTCTATAAGAAGGGGATGTTCACTTATGATATCCATGATTTGATACTAGTCGGTCTGAACATTTAATTTCGTTTCATCATTAGCTTTAATAGCCATAAAAAATGCTCTTTATCTTTTGAAAAATCCAAACATTGAGCTAAAACATACAGGAAGTCAAACCTATCCACCCCGTCATGCCCATCTCTACCGTCAACATTAGTTTGTATTCTCTTTCGTATTTTTCCCAAGTCAACTTTTATCAGCATCATCTCCCTTTCTTCACATTGTATGCATAATTTATAGAAACGATTCAGCCAATTGGAAAATTTATTGAATGTCGAAAGACTGAAAGATTATCGAAATATAAATTGTTGATGTAACCAAAATTTATGTGTCCATAGGCTTGTAAGTTTGAGAATTCAGAGATTTAATCATGTTCTTTTTATAGGATGTTACTTGATTTTATTGACTTCTTGATTGCATGACAACAAAACAATTTTTTTCCGTTGTCGCACGTCAAAAAGTACTTTAATGAGGCTGCAGAATTTTCTAGGAACAAACTTCGCATCATCTTCATCAATTATCAAGATTTGACATATTACTTCTTTTTTTGTATGAGCGAGATCCGCTAGCAGCTGGAGGTGATTTAGAAATGATGTCCAATTTTTTTTGCAAGGATGTTGGGAACTAGATCAATATAATGGCTTAGATTATTTGATGGACGTAATTTATGAATGATTCATGGTCTCTTTTATGATCTTAGGCTATTGAACTTTGATGTGTTTCATCCTCATGAACATGATATGAGGAAACAAATTAAATCCGGCATTGTATTCATACAGCAAGCTTCAAAAACGTTGTATGAAAGCTTTTATCCTTTGTCAACATGACTTTTTTTGATAAACAATTTTGTTATTAGTTTTTCAATATATTGTATCAATAAATTTGTCATTTAAATATGAAACTAAGGCATATTGGTATACAAATTCAACATAAAATGTCATTTTGAAGCTTCTTTGAACTCAGCATCAATACATAACAATATTTCAACAATAGAACTGAAATTCAATTAAAATTGATGCTGAATATCAATCTGTTTGACCTATGTCTCTATGAATAAACATCTCAGATTATTATTTTCTCATAATTTTATTTAAATCCTTATAAGCACAAAAATTTCAATAAACAAACTTGATATCCAAGTCAATTCAATCTGTCCTTATTCTATTTTTGGCTGATGGAAGTGCCATTTATTTGATTGATGCGATTTTTATGAATATTTGCTTAAATCTACATAGGGGCTTATTACGTAACGCGAAAAAATGACTTCTTAGACCCCCCCCCTCGTAACAAAATTTGTATGAAAAAAAAATTTCCTTGTTTGAATCGTAACAAAATCTTAGACCCCCCCTCCCCCTAATAGCGTTACGTAATAAGTGAATGGCCCCATATCTAAATACACACAAAGAAAAGATTTTTTGATTGAATTTCTTATGTGATGATAAACAAACCACATTATCTCCATTATCATCGTTCTGCATGCTTATAATAGCCGAAGAAGAGAAATTATGTGCGAATGAGGAAATGATATTAGGGCAATTCTCCAGATGAGTTGAGTTTTTGAAAAAAGAGCTTTTATAATCCAAAGTCATTTACTGTTTACTTTCAATTTTTTTTTTGTAAATATCTTGTCAATTTCTTTGTTTTGATTGCTTATAGCAACTTTAAACTGTTTATTACGATTGATTCTTACTGAATCAACAATAATTCAACCATGAAGTGTTAAATTAAGACTAAAATTTAATTTTTATGATATATTTGCTTTGCATTTTTTTCATGGATTTGCAAAATAAAAGCTTAATTTTTTTACTGTCAGCAAAAAAATCCACCAAAGAATCAAAAATTCTCTTTAAATAGTAATTATTGGAGTGTGATATGATTATGGTTAGATAGATTAGCTCAAAAACTACATTTCTGTATAATCATAATAAAAAATGAGTGTTTACTTTTCTTCAATTTTCGATTCTCCGGATGATTATTCCATTTTTTGCTGACAGTAATTTGCAAAAAAAATTGAAAAAACTTAATTATTGGCTACTTTAAAAGACTTAAATAGATAAAATATAATAGTTTTTGCCATTTTAGATCGATTTAAATGTAAAAGTTATGCTTGGTAATGGAAAATTTCCGAGAAAATTTGATTCTCCGGATAATTTTTTGAAAAACTTATCTGGAGAATTGCCCATTAGCCAAGAAGAAGGAAAAAAGAGCTTTTGGTGAGCTTTTCTTGGTTATAATGTGGTTGCAACTGCCTTAATGACTATGTGGCTGGATGTTGTGTAACTTTTTAAGCACTTATGAATGGTGTTAAACTAAAGTTAATCTAGTGCATTAAGATATAATGTATAGGCAAGATTATGGCATCTGTGGTTGAGTAAATAGACATAAAACTGGAAATCTGTTACTTCTTCTCTTTACTAAAGTTTAATTCTCATCAAAAAGAGATCATATGAATTGAACTGGTTTCGTGTAATGCTTCAGACCCTAAAATTTGGGTAAGTAAATGCGCTCTACACAGCCTTTTGATAATCCACTCATGCTAAGAAAATTATGTTTTCTTTATGTTAGTACAACGATTAGTCTGTGTATACTTTGTTGATTAGTCTGCATATATTGATACCAAGAAAAAGCTTATGTGCTATATTCGCTGAGCTTTCAAATACAAAGTGAAATATTTTTTTTTTTTGGAAGGCCTTATGTTCATTGTTTGACGAGATGATGATTAATGGAGTTCTTTCATCCACATATAAATGCTCATATACATCGTGAATGGTCATTCAATTTTGATGGATGGGCATCAGAATATAAATGATGAAAGAGAGGGGCGAAATTGGGTAGGCAGATGTGGTCCTAAAATTTCAATTTTAATTCACAATTTTCAAACTTTATTTAATCTATGCGGACCGCCATTAAAGGAAGGGTCAAATGGAAATGAATTCTTTTTGTATAAGCACATCAAGCAAAAAACCGGAAAAATCTCTGCATGAGAGAAATTCGGCATTTTCGAGCGATGACCTCGCAAATGAATAATATTGAAGCAGTTATGATCCCTATTAATAGCACTTGAAATCCACCCATCAGTTGCTCAACATTAAGCATTCTCGGACCATCACTCTCTTTTTTGATGTTAAGATACGTATTGCTTATGTAATCTGACGCCCAAAAGTCTATCAATCCACTCGTCTTAAAAAGAGAAATTTTCCTATTGAATGACTTCACCAAATATGAATTCTTACGGAAATAGATTCCATACTGAAACGTAAACAAATATTCTTTACAAACTGTCAATGTATTGTCTCGATAATTCAATTTGTTGTAGTATGAGACCTGCTCGAGACTGCTTGATACAGCATGTTTTGCTAGTGGATCTGTTGTTTCAGCACGTTTATCAAGTAGAACTGTTGCATTCACCCATTTACGTCTAAAACATAGAAAATAAATTGTTGTATCAACTGCCGTGTTTGATATTTTATGAATTGGATGGACTTGAGTATGCCAATGGGTATTAACTTGCTAAAATGAGTCACCCTCCATTGACACACCTCAAAACCCACAAAAATCTCTTACTTATCTTTAAACTTCATATTTTGCGTATGTTCCAATGATGATGGCAGCATAAAGACTTTAAAGTCTTTCTCAACTAATTCATCAATCGATTGAATTTCATTGTGGCGATCATCAACTTGTAGAAATTGAAATAAAGCTCCTTGGTAAAGTGACCTCTTTACAAGGCAAAACAATAAATATATCATGAGCAGTGTTCGTGCAAAATTGCGTTGAGGCAATTGTGTTTGTGAGCCACCCACAAAAGCAATAAGTACATTGAGAAATGGTGACCTATTTCCACGTCCAAAAACGAAGGCTCTTACTGAATTCCTTTGTAATTTGATTATTAATATTACAATGAATGCGATGATAAAGGTAAGTAAGAGGAAAATCCAAACGAATAATTGAAATGGCCTGAAAAGTTTCTCAAATGATGAAAACGGGCTTCCTGGTGGCACAATCAGAATGAATGGAACTGAATAATAAGATTCAGATGTTGCCATAAAAAGCGTCCTTAGGTATGTGATGGTGTACATTCCAACAGTCAGATCAGCTTCTTTTTCGATAATCATTTTCAATGCTCCTTTACTCGTACCATTTGGACTTAATGATCCCCATCTAAAAAAAATGTAAGGACATGTGCTGATGAAGGTACAAAATCTCATTTTGAATATTTGCAAGTAGCAAACATAAAAAATCATTTTCATTGTTGACTAAGTAGAAAGGAATGTAAAGAGCCAAGAAAAGCATCTATGCCTTATTCTTTAAAGACTTTCTAACCTCAATTCATGCAAATTTAATTTAATTACCTAATTAGATCAGAAATGTGGTACAAATCTATCTTAAAATTAAGCTCCTCTGCTAACGTATTCGTCATCTCACCATCAACTCCGAACAATTTAAATGATTTAACTCCGTCATTACTGACTGTATAATTTATCATCATCATGGGTGGACAGTTGAATGTAACAATTTTCACAGGACATTGATGTAAATTGGAAATTTTCTCGGGAAAATGATTCGACTTTAATTGAAATGATCCATTCACATACTGATTAATTATCACTGGTTTCGTATTTCCGCACACTTCCTTTTGTTCATATCTACAAGAGCTATTCTCGCATTTCAAGAATGGGATGAATGTCAAGAGATTTATTTTGTTGATATTATCCACATCCACAAGTAAAAAATCAATATTGTAGACGAAAATACTCCACAAGAGCTTTGAAATTTCTTGAATTTCTATAAAGTTCAAGCTATTGATACAAATCATGAGATAGAATCCATCAATCACGAATGTATCTGTTGATATCTTGCTATAAATATTCAGAAAGGATCTGTATGTATCAACAATGAGAATATTGTAAAATCTCTGACGTTTACGGATAAAGTTTGTATCCTCAACATAGATTGTAGCTCTTCCACTATTCTCGACTATAAAATTATTTATCAGGAAATTCCATTCATATTTGGTTTCGTTGTTTAACGCAATAATGAAATTTATTGCTTCTGTCTTCCATGCAAAATCACTCAATATAATGTCACTTGCGGCATTTAATAAATCACTTTTTGTTGTATGTACAGCTATCTGTGATCCAACAGCACATTTGGTATTTTTAAGTATGAAAATTTCAATGAACAAAACAAGAGAAATAAATCTCATTTTTAGCAAGCAACCGATTTGATTTAATGGCAGAAAAGTAATGACTATTCTGAGAAGAGTTTCTTTAGCTAATTTGATGACATAAATAATCGACTTAATGAATGAATAGAAATCAAATATTTAGATTGGGAAAATGAGCAAAATGACTCACTTAACCTAGCTAATTAGACATGAAAGTAAATACACTTATTCATGCTATTCAAGTGATAAATGAGGATTGCAAGTTGCAAAGTTGTAGATTTGTTGGAGAATGCGGAAGTTGAAAGCATTTTGACGAGGTTTAGATACAAGCAATAAGATAATTTTGATCAGTTCCGTACCCTTGCTTGTACTAGATTAAACAATTTTTTATAAACCTTAAAACTTTAGCTCAAGTTTGTTCCATCTTTGAAACTTTTGAAGGAATTAATAAACTTTAATTTAATTCAATAATGAAGCTCCAAATGTCTAAATGCAGCTGCAAACTGAGCTACTAACACCGAAACCCCAAAAAATGAGTTAAAGGTAAACACAGCTCTCATTCTGTGTTTCAACTTACTTTTGACTTTAATTAATGAACCATCCAAAAACTTTTATATTTCATTTAGCATAGGAAAATTAATGACCTTTAAGTGACTTCCAATTGTTTGAGCATGAAATCATAAAAATCAAATTCAAGCTTCTCTTTTGAGTTCAATGATGAAATGAATAAAAAGAGCACTTATGGATGAATTTTAATTATTCTTTTCTTCTTGCTGGTCCAATTAGTGGAGAATTTGGATGAGAAAGAAGGACAACAATTAAAAATTACTTTTGAGCTTTGCTTGTTGCCTTTGAAGGTTGGATAAAAAAAGATGTAATCATCTAAACTGCTGCCTCAACTGTAAGAAACATCTAGAAATTATTCAATATTTCACTATATTTAAAGCTTCACAACACAAAATAATTGAAGTTCAATAGATACAAGCATTCATTTCGCACCTGAATAAATAAACACAGACAATGAAACTTAATCATTCTCACCCGATTGATATCAGTTTCAATTCATCCTCTTTGTCGTGTACAGTACAAAAAAAAATATGAAAATTTTATTCATCCTCCTGTCGACATTGATTTTATTCAGTTTAATCCCGCTTTCATTCAGTGATGCCACGTTTGAGATACGAAGCGATATCGAGGTCGCAATTCGATTGTCCTTGAGGCCTAGTCCAATAAGCATCGTCATGAAGAATTATAGAAATGCAGATCAATTTTTCAAAAATTTTAAAAGTATAATTACGAATTTAAGGCCACAAATGTTGACACCACCAGCAAGAGATAATATTGATACATTGGAAGCAATTACAAAGATTAATTATCAGCAAAGTGCAAAGTTCTTCAACAATGACTATATGACAATATGGTATAATAAAATGAGAAGATTCTTAGAAGCCAATTATGTCTTTACAAACATGTATGAGATAAATGACAAGTTCTTACAAACAATGACTTCGAAAAAGGCACCAAGATGTTGGAATCGTTTCCGTGAAAATGTTAAGAATGTGACGCAATATTATGTTGTTACAACTGTTTACAAGAAAGTTGAAGACTTTTTGTTTAACAAATTCTCTGGTTATAAAAATGAAAGCTTGACTTTCCTTGAAGGAAGTAAAAAAATTGGACCCGGAAACAGCGCAAGCTTCTTTGTAAGAATAAATTTATTTCAAGGACTTTAGATCAAAAGTTTAAAAAAACCAAATTTTATTCCAGCTTACCACAAACATTAATGCTATGACGGATCTGCACAATCGATGGATGAGCGACTTGGACCAATTAAAGCATGAAAATAATCAAACGGAGATATTAAAACCGATCATTGATGATGCATTTAATAAAACTCTGCCTGATTATGAAAGCATTTTGGCAAATGTGACTGATTGTGCACTGCCTAAAAAACTTCCACCTGCGGCATAAAATTGTACACTTTTGAACTGTTCGAAATAAAGTTTTTATCAAATTTTAATTACTTTTGACTTTTATTCATTCCACCATTTGATCTTGAAACCTTCAATGGATTCATTATTCTTGCCTTGATGCAAACCAATTGTTGAGTTAAACGTCCAGCTGTACTCATGATTTCAAGTAACAACTCTGTCAATTTGCTTACAACTACAAAGCTTGTGTGCTACAATAAATTGAAATTTTCGATAAAAATGTGTCAACTCGTGTGCCATATTATTTGTATATACAGATGCTTGTCTCATAGCTATAAACAATAACATAAAATAACTTCATGTTTTTATCCTAATTTTTTTTAAGAAATATTATCAGTCTAAAATTTAAGCTACGACAAGAGAAACATAAAATAAAAGTCACTCCTCAAAAAATGAACTCTTTAAAGGTTCTTTTACTATTTTCAGTCACTGCTGTATCTACTCAAAATTTTACACAAATTAGATCTGAGATTCAAGAGAAGTTGAATGAAAATTTGCTAGCAAAAAGGAGCAGAATAGATTTGGTAGCCATTGAACTGAAAACTTTATTAAACGACTTCAAGCAGCACTACCAAAAAATTGAGACTCTTTTGTGTTTATGTGCTGATAAAAATGACACGAAAATTTATTGTAAACTTATCAACAGTGAAATAAATTTGGCATATAATTCACTTCATTTTGAGTCATTTCCACTCGAGTTGCAAGCTATGGCAATACATTTGTTTGGACCATCAATTCAATTGTATGAAGATATCCTAGATTCAATCAGTAATGCAACAAATGCTGTTGAATGTTTAAGTCAAACAAAATCTTCATTTATTGACATCTTTAAGAAATTCTTTGAGACAACAAGGGATGTTATCATCAAAAGTGTCCACAAACTTAAAGCAAGCATTCTGGTCACTCAAGGAGAAATAAATAAATTTGTTGCTAATAGATCTGCACACATTTTAATATGTACTGGAATTGAAAAAAATATTTGTGAATGCTCAAATGAATATGTAAGTATATGTTTGACTAGAAAAAGGTAGATGGAATGTCTGATAATCGTTATGTATGGAATTTCGGGTGCCTGTGCTTTAAAGCTATATATTCATAGCATTCCAACAAAATACTCACAAAGCTTCAGATCCAATTGTGAATTTAATAAGTGTGTCTACTTTTTCAGATAAGTTTGAACTGGAAGTCAACAATTCTGGCAATTAAGCAGTTTCAATCGAATGTTGAAACATTCGCAGATAAAATTAACGATGAGACGATAGTGGAAATCGCTGTCAAGTCTGGAATAACAGAAGAAAGCATGAAATCAAAAATATTAGAAATTTCAGAATGTACAAAAGGAAATTAAAGCATTCAGTATTGTGCCTTAAAGTTTAACCTAAATGTCCCAAAGAGATGCTTGATGGGAAGCATAAACAAAACAAAAGTAGGCACAACTTTTAAAACTTCATAAATTTCATTTAATTAACACAACATTTTCTGTAAGCTTTAATGACATAGAGACCCAAATTCTATAGACATAAACACAATTTTTAATAAAAGAAAAATCTAGACCTAAATTTTTTGTTCTCGTCACACACAAAATGATTCTGCTATTAAATTTTTAATTATATTTGTTTCCTTGACCCACTTTATGGATTTTATTAAATATTTTATGGCACGTATTCTCAAAATTTTATAATTTGGAATTAATATCTTAATTCACGTGATGAGAACAAACAAGAATTGTGGCTTTTTTATGATTTTGCTGGCTGTGACGTCAGTTTAATCATTCTAAGCAAAAATCCCCGAATTATTCGTAGACAAATGTTCATATCTTATCATCTAAGTTTTATTATGAATTGCAAATATTTGGGGCTGTCTAAACTATCAAACATTTGAAGAATCTGGACTTTAAACTTTATTTTACAACTTGTGCATATAGAATTGACCCAGCTTTACACACTTTTATGTCAAAACAATTTAATAAATCAAATTCACTTTCATTTGCTCGATTCCATTGTAATCCCAACTCCAAATAATTTTTTCGTGTAATCATGTGCTGTATCATCCCGTAGCAAATGCTGTGTAATGAAAAACATTTTCCCACGTGTTTTGTATTTTTTTACAGCACAAATAAAGATAACAGTTGGGAGAAATTTGGAGATAACATAAGACTGAGATTTTGTATATAAGAGGAGATGAAGAACTCTTCTGTGCTTATTCCTTACTAAGTTTCAGATAATAAACATTAAAGAATAATGAAGTTCATTGTAACAATTTTATTCCTTGCAAGTGCAGTTCTCGCACAATTTCCAACTGGATTGGAAATTTCAGCTGACTTTCTACAAGCAAACACCTACTATAGTCTCGAGGCAGTTAAGTTTGTTGATAAACTTGCAGCTGTGCTTGATGAACGTGTTTTGCCTTACATTGCTGCTCACGAGAAACTAGTCAAACATTTTGAAAGTATCAAAGAGATTCCAGGCGTTAAACTTGATGCCAATGGTGAACAAATAATGGACAGACTTACAACTAGAATTACCAATATGATAAATAATTACCCAAATGTTTTGGATCGCAATATTTTCAGTAGAGAAATGCAGAGACATATGGACATGCTCAATTCAGGATACATCAAACAAGCTGAAGGATTGATCACAGATTTAGTAAGCTATGTCACCAAAAACCCAAATGTTGGAAAATGCTGGATGGAAAATCGCGATGAAATCATGAAAATTGTTCAAAATGGATTTCTTGCAGCCAGAGATGCAGGTATCACAACTATAACAAATGCCAATGCAACACTCAATACAAATGAGATTCTAATTGAAGCAATGATAACATCTGACACGAGTTTCATTGAAATGTGCAAATCAACTGGAATTGAGCAGGTCAATGGATGTATTGGCATATACCTTTCCGTAGCTGATTTAACAGTTCCTGCAAGTGCATCAATGTGGGAAATGACAACAAATACAACCGTCACGACAAACTTACAGATTGCCGAGTCTTTGATCCAAACAGCAGCACAAATTGCTGTAATTCAAATCACACAAATTGTTGGGAGGATTGAGGCTTGCGTAGTTGATGTTTTAAGACAAACGAAATCCTAAGTTAGAGTTTTTGAATATAATTTCGATGAATAAAGATGAAATTTATTAGGAATTTAGAAAAAAATGACTTTTTCGTGCAAGCCTCTTTCCTGGACTTCATATGATTTTATAAATAACTGTGTTGTCCATCTGAATGCATTTACATAACCACAAAATGTAACTTCACTCAATCTTGACTTGTGCTGATGATAAACAATAAAATTCTGAAATTTGAACGATGAACGAAGCAATGAGATCACGCGTTCAATTACGTGTGGCATCGATAAACTTTATTGTTTATTATTCACAAAATATGTTTATCAAAAACATTTATTTAATAAAACTGCTTCTTTCTCTTATCGTTCGAGGCAAAATAGCATACAAATTAATTTAAAGTATTGTCGCTTGTTAAAAACTCTGAGAGAAAAAGTTTGTAATTGAATTTTATTGTGTTAAAAAGTTTATGAAAGTTTATTAATTTTACAACAAAAGGAAATGAAAATTATTTTAGGGGGAAGAATTATGGAAATGAAGGAAAAGCTTTTGACCTTTCATAATAATCTATAGACTAGTGGGGTGTCTATATGCATTTTCGTGAAGCTTTGCTGCAAGTTTGGGACGATTAAGTAAGAAATTTGGTGGTAGTGCTCCTCAATTTAATTCAAATAGACCTTTGGAAGTTTGTGTCTAGATTTTGATTCAATCTTTCACTTTAAAAACACTTTATAACTCTGTATAGATCCCATAAAATAATCTACATCTGAAATGATTTTTCAGGTAAGATAACGACACATCTTGTAATCAAAAGATCATCTATCCATCCTTAAAAACTGCAGAAAATTAACTTTGTTTCCGACCACAGTATTCCAAACCAAATAAATCGATTACAGCAGATTCAAACTTATATCGTAAATCCATTCACCCCATCCCACAATGATTCAGAATCGGAAAAAATGTTCAAAAATTCAAAAATTTCATGTTAATTAAACTTTGTCTTTTAAATGCCAGAATAAAGATCTTAACTTGAGGCATATCCTATGAAAATATCTCGTCCCAATTTGATGTCTAACTCCAGAAATCATTAATTTAATCTCACCCAAAATTTGTTTACAATTTGTGTATGAAAAAAAAAATGTGATTTTTTCTACTTTAAGTTGTTATTTGGATGTCTTGGAAGCAGTTGCTAGCTAATTTAAGCTTAGCTTTACATATAAAAACAACAAACTCAATAGAAATCTGCTTATTAAGCCTTAAAAATGAATTGAAATCTGAGTATTTTTGCACAACTTAAACTATTCATAAGTTAAAAAGTCTTCCAAAGACCTCTCTGAAACCTATACAAATCAATTAATTAAGCTTAAATCTATCTCTGATACAACTGGGGACATGCCGTTTGATGCCGTTTTCGAGATATTTGCGATCAAAGTTTACATCAATTTTCATACAAAATTTGATCATGCACAATATTTTTTGATAAACTTTTACAAAGTTTTGGTAAAAAATCATGTTTATCCTTTATATTAAGGACTGAATTTTTGAGCAATGAACGAAAACATTATCTAGAAGATGCTAAAAGATTCAAATCAAGAGAAATTAACAAAAACTTTCAATTTTCTAATGTGTCGGAAAAATATTGTGCACAAGGAATTTTTGAACATTTTTTCCGAATCTGAATCATTGTGCATCCGTTCATAGAAATTACTTTATGTATTAATGAGCATCTAATAATATGAAAAATGTAATTGAATATTCCAACATTATTACTCCATTGAGGAAATTGAGAAAACAGTCATTAACGTTGTATAAATAAAAAAGTGTAAACACTTCCTTATGGTGGGAAATCAACAGAAGTTTGAAAGTTTTGTAGCTTTTTTATTAGAGATTACTTAGTGAATGATTAGTGCGCATTTGTTTTGTCTGTATAACTTAAATGTAGGTGATATCAAGATATATAGATGAGCTTATACAAAAATATCACTGTTTTTAAGGGACAAACTTTTGTATTTTCTGTAAACACTAACACTATGAAAGAAAACTTTCAATTTTTGTTTTGCAAAATTTTCAACTTTCTGTTATGTTTGTTGTTAACAGGAATATTGCAAATGCTTTACTATTAATTAAAGTAACTGACTAAAGTCGAATAGTTATGCATTTATCGGTATTTAAATGAAAACTTGAAAATGTTAAATTTAAAATTTTTTTCTTTGTATTAGTATACAAAAAATAGTATGGTCGAGTATGGTCAAGTATACTTTGTATGAGCTCATCTATACATCTTGGATGATATTAGAGGTTTATAATTTGCATAAGGTAAAATCATAATTTACAAATCCATATCAATACCAATCCTACTAGATACTTTTAAGACCCATCTCATTACCACTTTCTTCTGAAAATAGCAAAAAAGTGTTCCTAATACTCTAAATAAACTATGAGATGACTTGACATTCATTAATCCAAGAAATGTCTTTCAATTAGTGTCGTAAATAGATTTTATGCTCGTACATATCAACTGACCTAAATTTTACATGAAAAATTAACATAATCCTTATTCAAATAGCAGATGAATACATCAGATGCTAAGTTTCAAGACAAAAGATACACACATTTGTCTAAATACACATCAACCTTTTTCAAAAATAACAAATAGGGCGAAATTAATTTCACTTTTTCTGGTATGAAAGCTTGGAGTCATCCAAGTAAGATCTTCTTTATTGAAGTGAATTTAGGAACGTCATTTATGAACGACTCCATACGAAAATTGCTAATTAATATTTATTCTTATTTATTCAAGAAAGAAATTACGTACCGCCGAACATTTAGACAAAAAAAAAGTAAGAAGAAATATGCCAATTACGTATCAGAAATGGTATATCCATATTGACTTGTTTATTTAAATTATTAACAATTCATTTCATCAATTTTGTTTGACAATAAGTTTATGACCTACGGCAATCAGACAAAAAAGTAAATTGAAATCAAAGCAGAAATGGATTGTAATTACACCTATTAACAGCTATTTGATGTAGCGGTGGACATTTTTTAAGTGAAAAAGTTTTCTCATAAAGGTTGTCAATGATCAACGACACTACTATAAACTTGTTGACTTTTACCTTGTCATTTGATTGCTTAGTTCCGTTTGTACGAGTGAAGATGAAAGAAGTCATTGGAATTTTTGTTGCATTTCTAATAATAAAGTCGTCTACAACCGAGAATCAAAAGACAAATGAAATAATTGAAAAGTTTATTAATTCATCAAACAGAACAGTCACTTTTGTATCAATCGATGAGTCAATAACTAACACCTCGATGCTCATCAATCAGCACCTTTTGACACCAAAGCATTTGCTACAATTAAAATCAAGTTCTTTGAAAAATTGCAGCAATTACGCAAATGTCGATTTTTACGAGAATGAAATTACATTAACAAAATTTCAAGCATATAGCAAGCTTGAAGACATTTTATATCTTTTAGAGTTCAGTGACTTTTTAATTTTCACACCATCAAAATTTATTGCATCAATTTTAAAGTGCATTGTACAGCCAATGAGTCGATATCTTATAATTGTCACCACAATGCCAATATTAGAGACATCATCAATTACACACATGCTGAATAGTACATGGATAGATAATGGAGCCTTGAAAATCTTTATCTTACTTTACGATAAAGTCATCACTTTCAATCCATTTCATCGGAATGATGATGGAAGCTTTGGCAAATTGAATACGTTTGTGGTGTCGTTTAAAAGTTCAGAGACTGGATTTAAGAACCTCAATGGATATCCTTTGAGGGTGGAATTATTTCCAGCTACATATACAATGGCACGAGTAAAAGGAGTTATGAAGAGTGTTGATGACTTTCATGGACCAGATTCAGACGTCGCTAAGACAATGAAGGAAGTTTTAAATGCCACAAGTGTGTAGAAGAACTTTTAAAGCTGAAATTTTTTCATTTTTTGGAATTTATTTCTTTTTACTTTCAGTGATTTTAATCAAAAATGATGGAGCAAAATTTGGCTTCAGAAGTCCAAATGGAACTTTCACAGGAGCTCTAAAATCGATTCAAGATCGTCGAAGTGATGTGGCTTTTGTGACATTTTTCATAAAGGATTATGAGACTCAAAGTATTGAATTTTCAGCTCCTGTTTATTCCGATGACCTTTGTCTGATTGTAAAGAAAGCTGAAAGAATTCCACAATTCATGATGCCGCTCATTACTTTTGATAAAAGCTTGTGGGTTGCATTAGGTTTATTTTGTATTTTTGGTAAGTAGGTTCAGAATTGCGGATGTTATTCATCATTTCTGTGAAATGTTTGCTGAATTGATGAGTTTTTTGTCATCAAAAATGTCATCAGCTTATTCTTTAGAAATTAAAGTGCCTTCTTGAAAATTTCCATTCTCAAAATGAGCATATTCATCATTATTATCACACATCAACGCAAACACTTTCAAGCTTTCTTTAAAAATATCAAGCACACAACGTGATGAAAATGTTTCAATTAAATAGATCCAATCATGCACGAAAAGATGTAGACAAAATAATTCAAAGATTCTTCAAAAGATTTTCCTTTTTGTGTGAAAATTCTGGAAAAATTCTCAAGCTAACAATGAAAATCAATCAAATCACAATAAAGGAATGTCTTTCAACTTGATACGATTTGCGCTTCCTTAAAAAAGTTTCTTTTCTCTCGCATAATCATAACAATAAAAGTACTTTCATTTCCATTTATCGATTTCCTTTTGTGTAAAGAAGTGCTTTTTTAAAGATTCAGGCATTTTTGGAAGTATGTAGATGCTGGCAGGAAAGGGCATTCAACTTGTAGGTAAATAGTTGACTTGAGATTAGATTTTTTGATGTGCTAAGAAATCTTTTCAGGTTTTACGGGTTTTACAAAGTTTTTACATAAGGAAGTAATCTCCGGAACAAGGAAGCTTTAATCTTTGAGTCTCGAATTAAAAAAAAAAAAAAAAAGGTTCTTGCACATTAGCATCCTTTAATTACACTTAATGAGTTTTGATGAAAACTTATGGACAGGAAAGGCAAATAACCTTTGCCTCTAGTTGCCGTAACAACAATAATTCTTTATTGTAAAAATTGCATTGATTTATTTCTATCTCTTGCGATTTACTGCACACTTTGTGCCAATACCTTTTTGTTCCTTCCTATTCTAATACTTTTGATTTTTTGATTTTATACATAATGTGATATTGGAGAAGAAGTTTGGGTTTGTTTGTTGTTCATCTAGAATCAATTGATAATTCAAGTGTGTGCTTATAAAAACTTCAATCTTAAATCAAGCTTTTCTGCCTAACCGAACAATACTTAACCATTTTTCATTCATTCTTTGCATATGTCTTTTGTAGGAGTGACAATCTGGTCGATAATACGGCTATTGAACAATAAAATTTATACAACGATTGGAGTCAAAAGAATCGAATTTAATTTGCCATCACATATTGCAAAAATGTCAGCTGCTGCACAATACTTTCAAATATTCATCGACTCTTTCATTTTGGTTGTCAACGCACCACTTCGACGATTTCCACGAGTACAAAGTGAAAGAATATATACAGCAACTGTATGCATGTTAAGCCTGAATATCATTGCAATCTTTCAGTCAGGTCTGGCGACGTGTTATTTACATCCGATGTTTTATAGGAACATTGAAACTTTGGAACAATTTGCTGATTCACAATTGAAGATTGTAATTAAATATCCAGCAATGATGACTGACATTTTTCCAGAAGACTCATCTGCTTTATTTCATACGCTGTATACTCGAATGGTTCTAATGCCAATTCCAAATTTAAATATGATAAATATAACAAATGATATGAATATGGCAGGAGTTACTCGAAAAACTACTTTAAAAGTTCAAAAGGAAGAAGACCTTGTCCACATTATACCTGAATGTCCACGTACTTATCACTTAAGTTATATCATACCAAGACATTGGGTGCTAGCTGAAGAACTTAACATGATAATACTTGATCTAAAGAAGGCTGGATTAATAAACAAATGGATTGAGGATGTGAATTTTCGAATGAAGCTAGAGACATCACGTTCGCATCCACCCGAACCAAATCAAAGATCCCTGCAAGTCGATGATTTAATGTTATCATTTATGATTCTTGGCGTGGGATCCGCTGTCGGTCTTTTGCTATTTATCATCGAATTTTGTTATATGAAGCATGAACACAAAATGTTTGAATATTTACCTTAGATTGAATGAGCATAGAAGCAGCATAAAAAAGCTTTTGATTGTCAACTTTTTCAAACTCAGTCGGAATCTCGTTTGACTACCTAAGGGGTCGTTCACTTATGACGTCCGAAATCAACGGTCATTTTTCAAAAAAGAACAATGGATTTCTTCCTGGAATTTCTATTGTTTTTTTCTTGCTGACCCCCCCCCCCCCCTCCTGGACGTCATAAGTTAACGGCCCCTAAATGAATCACGCGAATTATGAATCAAAACCAACATATCCATTTAATTTATTTATGGGAATCATTAAAAATACATTTCGTCAATGTTGATTGACAAAAGGCTTATGTAATGCGTCATTAATGCAAGACTTAATGAAATCAAAGCAAAAATAAATTCAAAATTTCATTCATTAGCAGCTGTTTCCTTCAGCAGTTGACATTTTACTGTGAACACTTTTCTATTAAAATGTTTTGTAAAAAAAAATCTCAAATTTCAAAGTCTTGTTATTTTGTTCCTTATTAGCTTTGTACGAATCAAGATGAGAGAAGTCATTGGAATTTTTGTTGCATTTCTAATAATAAAGTCGTCTACAACCGAGAATCAAAAGACAAATGAAATAATTGAAAAGTTTATTAATTCATCAAACAGAACAGTCACTTTTGTATCAATCGATGAGTCAATAACTAACAACTCGATGCTCATCAATCAGCGCCTTTTGACACCAAAGCATTTGCTACAATTAAAATCAAGTTCTTTGAAAAATTGCAGCAATTACGCAAATGTCGATTTTTACGAGAATGAAATTACTTTAACAAAATTTCAAGCATATAGCAAGCTTGAAGACATTTTATTATTATTATTATTATTATTATTTTATTTATCTATCATAAGGAAAAGCCATTTTAAATGTATTTAAACTTTTTAAAATGGCATAAAAACCTTAGTTAAATTAACTTGAATTACATGCTTAAAATATTTAAGATCAGTGATAATTAAATATCGTTAAAGATCTTAAAACCAACAGACATTTTCATTTTAAATTATTAGCAGTTGAAATAAATTTAGATTTAAAATATTTGACGGATTATATTATTGGTGTGTGTCTTAGCTAAGTTGAATTTTGAAATCACATACGTAAACAACATTTTAACGGAAAGATGTGAAAAAAATAAAATATTGATGACTGAACAATTTTATATCTTTTAGAGTTTAGTGACTTTATAATTTTCACACCATCGAAATTTATTGCATCAATTTTAAATTGCATTGTACAGCCAATGAGTCGATATCTTATAATTGTCACCACAATGCCAATATTAGAGACATCATCAATTACACACATGCTGAATAGTACATGGATAGATAATGGAGCCTTGAAAATCTTTATCTTACTTTACGATAAAGTCATCACTTTCAATCCATTTCATCGGAATGATGATGGAAGCTTTGGCAAATTGAATACGTTTGTGGTGTCGTTTGAAAGTTCAGAGACTGGATTTAAGAACCTTAATGGATATCCTCTAAGAGTTGAAATCTTTGTAGGTCCGTATACTATGGCAAAAATAAAAGGAGTTACAAAAACTATTGATGACTTCCATGGACCAGATGCAGACGTCGCTAAGACTGTAAAAGAAGTTTTAAATGCCACAAGTATGTAGCAAAATATTCAATGCTAAGAATTTATTTAAAGTTGTTTCTCATATTTCACTTCTAGTGATTTTAATCAAAAATGATGGTGCCACATTTGGTTCCAAAACAAAAAACGGAACTTTTACAGGAGCTCTCAAAACAATTTTAAATCGACAAAGTGAAGTAACTTTTGTAACATATTTTGTGAAGGACTATGAAACCAGAAAACTTGAATTTTCATCTCCTGTCTATTCTGATGATCTTTGCTTAGTTGTGAAGAAAGCTGAAAGAATTCCACAATTTATGATGCCGCTAATAACATTTGATACAAGCTTGTGGATTGCTATAGGTGCATTTTTTGTTTTAGGTGAGTAAAAAGGTAGCAAGAGACATTCGTGAATGTCTATCTCTTTATCTTTTGTAGGAGTGACAATCTGGTCGATAATACGGCTATTGAACAATAAAATTTATACAACGATTGGAGTCAAAAGAATCGAATTTAATTTGCCATCACATATTGCAAAAATGTCAGCTGCTGCACAATACTTTCAAATATTCATCGACTCTTTCATTTTGGTTGTCAACGCGCCACTTCGACGATTTCCACGAGTACAAAGTGAAAGAATATATACAGCAACTGTATGCATGTTAAGCCTGAATATCATTGCAATCTTTCAGTCAGGTCTGGCAACGTGTTATTTACATCCGATGTTTTATAGGAACATCGAAACTTTGGAACAATTTGCTGATTCACAATTGAAGATTGTAATTAAATATCCAGCAATGATGACTGACATTTTTCCAGAAGATTCATCTGCTTTATATCATACTCTAAACACTCGCTTAGTTTTGATACCAAATATTAACTTAAACGTCTTGAATGTGACACAACAAATGAATATGGCAGGCATTGCTCGTAAAGTCACTTTAAAAGTTCAAAAAGAAGAAGATCTTGTGCATGTTGTTCGAGAGTGTCCACGTACTTATCACTTAAGCTATATCATACCAAGACATTGGGTGCTTGCTGAAGAACTTAACATGATAATACTTAATCTGAAGCAGTCAGGATTAATAAGTAAATGGATTGAGGATGTGAATTTTCGAATGAAGCTAGAGACATCACGTTCGCATCCACCCGAACCAAATCTAAGATCCCTGCAAGTCGATGATTTAATGTTATCATTTATGATTCTTAGTGTGGGCTTTACTGTGGGTCTCTTGCTCTTTATCATCGAACTCTGCTACAGAAAACATGAATACAAAGTGTACAAATATTTACCTTAGATTGAATGAGCATAGAAGCAGCATAAAAAGCGTTTCATTGTCAACTTTTCATCTTTGTCACCTTCAATAAAAAAGAATGAACATTTACTGGAGACTCATTGTATTACAGGAAATCTATTATGATATACAAGCTATAGAACATACATTTATCTTATTGATAGCACATACGTACAGCAAGTTCAAATAAGAGTTCAATGCCTTTCACCTCATGCTGTGTAATATAAAATTGCTCAATAATAAATGTGAATTGTTGCACTATTGAACATCCAGTGGATAAAAATAAATTCTGCTTCTTTTTTATCAAGATACATAATAAAGAGCCTGAATAAGAGCTTATTGCAAATTTCAATAATATTAAGCAAAAGAATTGAGATATGATTGAATCATCTGCTTGATTCTTAGTGAATTTAGTTTTCTAAGAATCTGTAAAGTGATTTAAGAAGTCAAGCTATTCCATTTAAGTCACTTAGATAAAAGATCGACAGACCTGAAATCAATGAAACTCTCTTTTATGAAGACATGATGAAAAAATGTTTTGGTAGTCATCCGTTCTCTCCTGGATAAGCCCCTGCACCATTATGTATATAACAACTAAAGCTTGATTGAATTCGTCGACTGTCAAGGACTTGAAATACTTGAAAGATTTAACTTTAACATTCAATTTAAATTCTTGGGGAAATGAGAAAAGTTTAAGCATCCTGAACACTCTTTAAAGTTTAGCCATTAGTGGATGATTCATGAGTCATGACAATGAAAAATGCAAGAATTGTTACGACAGTCTAGTTGACTTGACAACTTGTTTCATTTCTATAATGTTGTTATCATCATCATCGTTCATTCATTCTTTATTACTGTTGGTACGTTTCAATGGTTTGTAATATCCACTACTTTATTACTCCTTTTATAACTTCATAATAGTTACTTGACATCCATAACGATTTTTCACAGTCATCAACCATTGATATGATTCATTTTTATAATAATTGTTTGTGGCTACTTCAAATTCCATTTACTTAATGCACTTTTTTGTCAATTTCCATTCTCTTGGATTACAAAACTATTGTTTCTTTTGCTTAAATACAAACATTTCCTCCATCTTTCATTAACAAAAGGGGAAACAAGTTAATGGCTAGTTTGTAAGTACAAATAGAATGTTTACTCTTTGCCATCACATTTGAAGTAGCAAACAAAATAAAATGAAATAGAAACAAAAGAAAACTTTTGTGGTATCATTAAGCTATAAATTGTATACATTTGAGAAATGTCTGGATGGATAAACATAAGCTTTATGATACTTTCGTGATGTCTACTCGCGTTTTGTGATAAATGTGGAAATTCGAGAATCTTGATGAAAATTTCGAACTGAAATAATTTGTATATTAAAAGTTCATCTATTAATACACGCTTTTGAAGTGTATTGATGACTTAGTTGCCCAAGTGCGGATTACGAATGTTGAAGTTCAAACTAAAGGATTTGGAATTACATCACCAACATTTTCAATTTCAACTATTTCGTGGCTTAGCAATGACAACAAAGTAAATCAAACCCACACAGAATCCAGCCATAAGCATTTATTGCCAAGCTACCAACAAAAATTATCATTTCCACGTTATTCATAAACAAGAGGATTGGACTTTAGTTTGTTATTTTAACATTCATAAATATTGTCGATTGCGTTTTGATTAAGCAACGCGGTTTTGTCATGTTTATATTTACGACTGATTTATTACTTTCTAAACAGTACAAATAATATTGTGGCCTAAATTATTTATCTGATTTGCTGTTCTAATGATAATTTGAACGAAAGTAGAGCAACTTTTTTGATATTGCTGAATATTTGTGTCATAACTGCATTCATTACTACTCAATGTCTATGATCACAAGTTTCATGAGCTTTTTTGATCAAAACTTTATATATTTGACTTTTATTGAAGACGTCCTTACTCTTGGCATATTCAGAAAGTTTCATTGTCTTTTTGGGTATCTCAGTGAGTTATTATTAGATGCAGCACCTCCATATAATAACTTTTTAAATTAATATTAAGTCTATTTATATTTTATGTCAGTCAATTGAGCTTTTATTTGATTTTAAAAATAAAATATCAAAACTTTATCTTCAAAAGATACAATACCTGCGTAGTGCTGAGTCCTTTGCACATTAGAAACTACATGAGAGCTCAAAAAATAAATTATCCATTAAAACAACAAAATAATATTTTTGTAATTAAATATTTAAATCCACAAGTCCATTGAGCATTATTAAAACTTTGATGAGTATAAATTATTAATGACTATTCCTGGATACCCTTTGAAATTTGCCGAAATCACAATTATCTTGTTATTTTAATCATGTAGGTACACAGTCAACAATAACCGTGTGAACATTTTCACATGCATTATTGTTCTAATTATAGACACAAGCTTATTCATTGTAATTACTTTTGGGCTAATGAATTATCATCCAGTTAAGGCAGTCTTTTCCGAGAATTAAAGCCATTAAGTTTGAAAAATGAAAATATTCTTAGTGCTTTTCATTTTAATCGTACTTTCAGGTTCTCTAGAAGTTAAGAATTTTATTAAGAATCAAAAATTATTAAATAATTTAAGCATGATGATATCTGGAATCATGGATTCATTTTTCTGTGCTAAATCATCAATCGATTTTACAGTTTTGTCCATAAACAATCAAGAAATCAACGATATGCTAGAGGATATCCTACCAGGAATATCAAACTGTTCATCTTTCAGGCTCACAACGAATCTCAAAAGAATGAATCGGAAAAAAGTAAACAACATTGCAATAATGAAGAACTTAAATGAATTTGCGGAACTAGTAAGCAAAATGACAAGCGAAACTTTCGATTATCGGGGATATTATTTAATTATATTCCTTGACGAGCACACAGAACTGGATATTGTGTATAGAATAGCATGGAACAATTCAATTAGCAATATTAATGCAATTAAAATGACAACCGGAAAATGGAGCATTTCAACATTTTTCCCATTTTCCGACAATATTTGTGGAAACACAAAACCAGTTACAATTAACACGAAAAATCTATTTCCTGATAAAATCAAAAATCTGTGCACATGTCCATTAAAATTTCCCAAACTCAATTATTATCCCGGATTAATAATAGAGGAAAAAGGAAACGAAACAATTGTTGAGGGAATCGACGGTGATATTATGATGAAAGGATTGAAAATGGATTTTAATTTTACCATTCAAATTCTGAAAATGAAGAACGAGGAGGAGCGGTGGGGTAGGTATTTATGACGATTGCATAGGAATTATGTAAAACTAGATTACGCAATAACCTAACGAACCTTTAATGAATTTAATCAAATCATTCAACAAACTTTTCTTTTTATTTAGGAGCTGTAAATGTAAATGGAAATCACACCGGAGCCGTAAGAATGGTCGTCGACAAAGAAGCAGATCTTATGCTTGGCTTTATGGCACTTACTTTACTCAGATTTCAGTACATGGATAGTACAGACTCATTTATAAGCTTTCCATTTGTTTTAATTGTTCCACCTGGTGAGGAGTTCAGTCCATTTCAAAAGTTATTCAGACCATTTAGTGTCGTTGTTTGGATTTATGTGTTGACGACTTTTGCTTGTGGATTTATGTTCATGTTGATTGTTTTGAAATTTGGCAATAAGATTTGTATGAAAATCATTTTTGGAGAAGATCATCGTGCACCGTACTTAAAGATGATGAATGTGTTTTTTGGAGGATCCTTGCATGTCTTACCAAAACGAAGTACACCAAGAGTACTGCTGATAACTTTTATTCTTTACTGTATTGTCATACGAACAGTTTATCAAGGATTTTTATTCACATTTCTTCAATCTGATGACAGGCAGAGCCCAGTTATGACAATTGATGATGTATTGGACAAGCAATTTGATGTCTACATGTATCCTGTGTATCTTGAACATTCCAAACAGTTAAAATTCTTTTCAAAGTAAGTTCCTCATCATCTATAAAATAATTTTAATTAAAGTTATGCTTTGCAGGAGCAAAATTATCAAAGATTCGGAAGCTGAAAACTACTTTAAAATGACTTTGAATCCAAACTTCAAAGGTGCAGTGACAAGTTCACTCGACGAAGTGCTATACCTGAATAAAATTAATCACAAAAGTTTCATATATCGTGTGCTACCGGAATACTTGTATTCATTTAATTACGTGATTTATTTCCAAAAGAACTCCCCATACCTTTATGCATTTAATTCCAAAATGAGTTTGTACAAGTCAGGTGGATTGATTGATTATTGGATATCTAAATATTTAAGCAAAATGTATTTAAATATTCAAGAAACGAATGTTGGTCCGAAAAAGCTTAATTTAGTTCAATTGCAAGGTGGATTTCAAGTCTGGCTCATTGGTTGTGGAATAAGTTCCTTTATGTTTCTATTAGAATTCATTCACAATAAATCAATGCATCATAAAAAAGTTCAAAGACCTACTTTCAAGACATCCCAACTCATAAAAATTCAGCAAAGTTTTCAACAAATAAATCATCAACGACGAACGTGAGGTAGCGAAAGAAGATGCCTAAAAATATAGACAAAGTCAAGAAACTCGCAAATAAAATGACAAGCTTATATGTTCAAAATCATAAATAATATTTTATGTCATCATAAATTTGTTCATAGTTTAAGTTATTATCAGTACATTTTATTGAGTATGTCAAATGCTGTTCATTGATAAATATTTTTATTAAATGCTAGATAGTTCTGGTTTCCTTTGAATTGAGTGAATCCTCATTTATTTATTTTTATTTAATACATAGTCAATTATTTTGTGCTACAACGCGCTTGTAACCTAAATCTATCCAGAAAGTGTAATGTTGTGTCGCTAAATCTAGTTTGAATTGAGAAAAATTAGGTTTTGGATGTCTTTGCTTAGTTTGTATTGCTCGAGTTGATGAATTGTGTGTCGAAAAGTTTGAGAACCTGTGCCATCGAGGATACTTAAGAATCCAAAACTTGACTACTTGATTTTCTTAGGTGCATTACCAATCTTGCTCGATTGCATTGTAACTTGTTTCTTTGCATTATTTGCCTTCTTTACCATTGTCACTATGTGCTCAAAAACAAAAATCAATATTGCAATGCCATATCCAGCTAATAAAACATTAAAAACTCCAAATAAATCATCAAAATTCATCTTTCTAGGTCCAATTCCTCTTACTTTGATGTTTAGATATCTCTGTTGTGCGTAAGTTTCAAACCAATGACTAGAAAATCCCACAGAATCAAAGCGTAACAATAATTCATTGAAAGTATCCATCAAATGGAAGCCTTTCTTCATTAACATTACAATGCTCATTATAGATACTTGTTCTTTACAGACTCTCAATGAAAACTTTCCTCGTGCCCTTTCATTTCGATTGATTACATCAGTTAATGGAGTCATAAAAGCAGATTTTAAAGTTTCATCAACTTCTCGTGAAAATGGAAGTTCCTTTTCTGATTGAATGACAATTCTTCTTTGATAAATTCTGGTTGTTTCATCAACAACGTCCACATAGCTTGAAAACATGTAGAATTTAAAATCTTTTTCAACCATTTCGGATACACTTTGAACTTCCTTTCGAGTTCCATCAGATCTAAGGATGATATACAATGCACCTTGATAAGCATTTCGATTAATTAAACAAAATAACAAAAACATCATCAAAATAAATCGAGCAAAATTTCGAGTAGGCACGACAGTTTGTTGTATTCCAAATATAACTGATATAAAGTTCATTGTGGGAGATTTTACATTCCGTCCGTAAACAAAACTTTTCAAATGCTTCAATTTACAATTGATGAAAATTATTGTGAACAAGCCAATAGAGAAAACAAGTCCTAATAACATCCAAATGTTTTTACCGAATGGACGCAAAAGCTTCTCGATGGGTGTGTATTTTTCAGCTGTAAAGGAATAAAAATTTATCAATAAATCAGCAACTAGGGACGAATTAGTTGATATTACGTGGTGGAATCACAAGAACTATGGGTATGGAATAATAAGAGACAGTAGAATCAAAATATTGCAATCTACTCAATCTCAACATGTAATTTCCAATTGCAACATCAGCCCTGCCATTTCTTAGAACATTAAGACCTCCAGTCGTTGTACCGTTTGGCAAAATTGTTCCCCATTGTTCACTGCCCAAAAGAAATGTCATATTTATCTGGAAATTCAATATTTCCTCTAATGCTTGAATCACTTCATAGTCATATCCAGAAAATCTGCTAGTTGTTCTATTGTAGCACATTGATGGGCATCTTTGAAATGTTACAACACGAATTGGACAACGATGGAGATTATCAAATTTATCTGAAAAATGTAGTTTCTTCACATTCTTGGTCATGGCTAGTTGAAATCATTTATAAGGTTTACCTTTTGGAAATAAAATCATTTTTGTATCGCTAAGAAATTTTTTATCTTTTAATAAATTGACAGATATTAGTGTTGTGTCCGAGCATGATTTTGAACTGTATGGTCGAATCATTGTAAAATTCACTACACCATCTTTAGCATAAATTATATTAAAATTACTGATTCCTTTTTTCCAGACACTCAAAGTCAAATTTCCCATTTCGTGTTCTTCAAAAATTCCTCTTGTCAGGACAAAAAGATAATATCCATGTAAGTAAAATCGACCTGGTGTAAGAACCTTATAAACTCTTTCGAATGAGTCGAATTTGTCAAGTAGAAAGACCATGCAGTTCCTCTTGGTATTTAGAGATGCTCTGATATGTGAATGATTCTCATTCGTAACTACATAATCTAAATCTTTATTTCTTTTGTTCCTTATAATTGCATTTTTTAAGTCATTCGTTTGAGGATCTTTATTACTTTCTAAAGCAGAGACTATGTATGCTGTTTTAAAGTACTTGTAGTAATAATTATCGAATATGTAATGAATTCCAAAAACTAGATCAGAATTCGAAAACTTATTGGTTTTAGGCAATAATTTCGAATTTGCATCCACAGAACTGATGAACAATGGAAATAAGAATGTTAATATTTTCATATTTAATGGAAACTTCTTTTTGGATTTGACACTGACTGGTTAAGGATTTCACTATAACTGACTGACATTTTCAAGTTTTTATGTAAGATATGTTGGAAAATAAAACATTAATTAATGCACTTGATGAATAATAAAGAAATAGTAAGAATATTCTAAGAATCCAATTGCTTATACTGACGTTCATTTAATAATACTTTTGGTAAAATAAGGAATAATTAAACTCATGCTATAAACAATGCTTTACATAATAATAGAGTCGTTATGTAAATTGTTAATGAAACTTTGTCTATTACGCAGTTAATTATGATATTGGAAGCAACTTACACAATCAAGGCTTCCCGAACTGGTATTTCATTTCAATCCAACAACGCTACTTAATTTGATGTTAACATGACGAAACGGTAGTGCCTTGATGCTTTGCTGAGTCCTATTTCTTCCCCGAAGATGAGCTCCTGAAGATTTAATCTTCAATTTTAGTGATTTGATAAAACTGACCAAAATGACACAAGTCGGTTAATCTAAAAGAAATTTGGCAACAAGCTTGGGGGTCGTTCACTTATAAAGTCCGAAATTAACGGTCATTTTTCAAAAAAGAACAATAGATTTCCAGGAATTTCTATTATTCTTTTCTTGCTGACCCCCCCCTCCCCCCTGGACGTCATAAATGAACGGCCCCTTGCTTAACTCTGACATGTTGCTGGATTCGATTTGAGTCCAAGCTAAGAAAACTTGGTACCGGATTTCTATTCAATTAACCGACTTATGCTATTCGGGTGAATAAATCACAGACTTAGTGTAGTGTGCTGCCTAGGATTAGTAAACTTTGACATTTGAATCTTAATCCTCACCTCAATCCATATCATTTACATTATAGTATTTTATTATTAATTCATATAGAAACAGTAGACAGTAGTACACTATATGTGAGTAACAACATGCTGAATATTTAAATAACTTTATTTATATCATTTTTTCATTGATACTTTTTCATGCTGAAGACCACTTCCATAAAAAAAAAACAAGGAAAATTAGTAACACATAAAATAAGACGTAATACGAAAACATGCGTAGAAGGGGAAAAGGTACTGCACATATGGCATTAATACTAGGTTTAAATTTTTTTATTTCCTTTAAATTAACTCGTTGTTTTATTCACGCGTGTCATTACAAAACCAACAAAAATTAATCAACTTACTACAACTCGCTATATACCTAAATAATGCCTACATATCAAATTTAATTAATTTAATATTACAGCTTTTGTCAATCAAAATTCCTTGGTTTACGTGCATTTACAAGAATATGCATATTCATCCTAATCGCTTGATACTCTGCATTTTAAGATGATCTCCTAGTTTTCTTATTTTGTTTTCTTTGTTGATAAAAATTTCAGCAATAAAGACAGTAACTCCAGTTAAGTATCCACAAATTAATAAGTAAAAGCTTCCTTTGACATGGTGCAACCTTATTGTTTTCGGACCTTCTTTAATATTCTTCCATAAGCTTGTATAGTCATACATTTTCAACCAATGCTCAACAAATCCTGATGATACCAGTCGTCCGATCTTGTTGTCGAAGGTTTCTCTCAAATAATAATGTTTAGGAAAGTATAGAACTATATTGATTGTTAAGAGACTTTCAGGACAAATCTTGTAAGGAAATTTTTGATGAGTTCGACTATAGTCAAGAATATTGAGTCTTCCACCCAAAACAGCAGTTCGTTTTGATCTACTCATTAGAGAATCCAATGATTCACAACCTTTTATTAACCATTTCATCTTTTGAATCTTTGGATTGTGAATTACAATATCCATAAAGGATTCATGCAGACAGATTTCAAATTTATTTTCCAACATCTCATCAATTGTTTGTACTTCCTTATGACGTCCGTCTGATTGAAGGAATTGAAAAAGAGAGCCTTGATATATGCTACGAAAAACAAAGCACATAAAGATCAACATTATAAGTAGAAATCTCGCGAAATTTTTCTTCGGAACTTTAGACTGCTGCAATCCAACAACAATAATAAGCATGTTCATTAGTGGATGCTTAATGCCTTTTCCATAAATAAAGTTCTTCAAGTATTTGAATCTCCAATTTATAATGACAATGACAACAATTCCCATTAATAATATAACCAGGAACAAAATCCACACGACAGGCTCAAATGGTCGAATAAACTTTTCGAAAACAGTAAGCCTTTCTCCAGATGGAATAATAAAGACAATTGGATAATTAAGGTACGAAACACTTGCATCAAAATACTTTAATCGGTTGACTTTTAAGAAATAATCGCCCATTCCGATGTCAGTTTTTCCTTGCTTTAAATCTAAGAATGACGCTGTTATGGATCCATTATCATGAACTGAACCCCATTCATCAACTCCGTATTTAAAGTGAACATCCAATGTAAAGTTTAATTTATCTGCCACAACTTTAATCATTTCCATTTCATATCCATAAAGTTCATAAGTTCCATTTGGCAAATTGTGCTTCATTACTCCAATGTTTGATATGAATGTTGTCAATCGGATGGGACACTTGTTTAAATTTGAAAACTTAGACTCAAGCATTAATTCAGTCATAAATTTATGATTCTGAAATTTATTGATGACTTTCGGTCGTGTGCTGAGACAATTTGATGAATCAGCATAAGGAAAGAATGTTGAAATTTCAACGCCGTCTACAGTATCATAAAGGATATAAACATTGACTATATGTTTTAACAGCATATCACTAAATATAGCCTGCAACTCTTTTATTTGTCCATCAATCAAAACGATTAAATAGAATCCATGATATCGGAATACGTCAGGATTAATAATCTTACTGACTTCCTCAAAAGACTTAACGGTGTCAATGATAAACAAGTTACATCTCCATTTATGCAGACCTCTCAATGTCACATTTTTGTTAGCCAAACGCGTTAAATAAGTCGAGACAATTTCACGAAATATTCTGTTCCTTAACTTCCGATCACTATTGTAAAATGTTCTCTGTACCTTTTCGAGAATATTTATATTTTGGCAATGATGTTCACGATAAAATACATCAACAGATTGAAATATTGATTGCACAAAGTCTTGCTCTTTTAATGTAAAATCCACTTGTTGAAAAAGCAATTTATTGGATGTACATGATGAAAATAAAAATCCAAGTGTCATAAATATGCTTAATATCATCTTGATTGCTGCGCTGTAATTATGCGATTAAATTTCACATAAAGCTTCCTACCAATTCATATTAAATCGTTTGACTTTTAATTAATTAAATGCTTTAAGGGATATCGTTTAAGTTAATTATTGTTACTGCTCAATACCTTAATTAATGTGATGCAAGGGAATGATTCTTTAAAGTTGAAGTGTATCAACAGGTCCTCTGAAGTATAAAACACGACTTACGTAGAAAGTCACTAGCTTCCGCGTTTGACTTTGCTAGATTACAGTTCTTATATATATCACAAAACGAAAACTAGTGTATCGCGTAGAAACCCAATGCAGATAAATTCACACCGTACCATCAAAATTCTTGTGGAATGACCAAGCTTAGCTCAATATTAATTTGAAAGTATAAATCTTGACGAACCACCTGAGCTGCTTAATTTATGTTTGAAGGTGTAAAGCTAAACGATTCACAGCATAAGCGACTATGGACTCTTACCATAGAAAGTCTTCATCGATTATCTATGCTATCGCACAGCATAAGTTTGTAAACTAGAACGCTTAACATAAGTTTGAAGGTATAAAGCTAGCGAGTCAGCTGAGCTTTGCTCAGCATAAGTTTGAAGGTTTATACGCACATTCTTTAAAAAGTTTTTTTTAAATTTTTTCATCCAAAGTTTAAATTTATAAAAATAACAGTAAACTTTTAAAACGATGCAGCTCTTCTAAAAAGCAGCACGGATCTAAATTTGAACTCTGATTTTTTGCAGAAAATGTGAAATTTCACGCACAAACATTTCATTTTTATATATGATTAGATATGTTAAGCTATCTTGCTCTATTTCCTCACAAAATTCGAAAAACTGATCTTTCAATCTGAACAAAACTAATAGATTCACACGTGAAAACGGTGTGAATAAAATTAGTGTTTTTAAGTAAACGATGTTCTTTTATTATCATTTCCACTATTTTCAATTATTTTTTCCAAATAATTTCAACACAATAAATAAGTGAGGATCAAATAACTAGTTAATCCGTGTTCCTGGATTAAGACCAGCTACTATCAACAAAAAAATTAAGTCATTTTTTTCTATCAATCATAAGTGGTTTTAGCTATCGATTTTATATCTTTATTAGCATTCTTTATCATTTATAATACCTAGATATGTTTTAAAATGCAATTTAAAGCATTTTTGATTTTGATCATAGTAGACTATTTTCAAAAAAATATCCATTTTATATCTATATTAGCATTCTTTATCATTTATAATACCTAGATATGTTTTAAAATGCAATTTAAAGCATTTTTGGTTTCGATCATAGTAGACTATTTTCAAAAAAATATCGATTTTATATCTATATTAGCATTCTTTATCATTTATAATACCTAGATATGTTTTAAAATGCAATTTAAAGCATTTTTGATTTTGATCATAGTAGGCTATTTTCAAAAAAATATCGATTTTATATCTATATTAGCATTCTTTATCATTTATAATACCTAGATATGTTTTAAAATGCAATTTAAAGCATTTTTGGTTTCGATCATAGTAGGCTATTTTCAAAAAACTATCGATTTTATATCTATATTAGCATTCTTTATCATTTATAATACCTAGATATGTTTTAAAATGCAATTTAAAGCATTTTTGATTTTGATCATAGTAGGCTATTTTCAAAAAAATATCCATTTTATATCTATATTAGCATTCTTTATCATTTATAATACCTAGATATGTTTTAAAATGCAATTTAAAGCATTTTTGGTTTCGATCATAGTAGGCTATTTTTAAAAACATATCGATTTTATATCTATATTAGCATTCTTTATCATTTATAATACCTAGATATGTTTTAAAATGCAATTTAAAGCATTTTTGGTTTCGATCATAGTAGGTTATTTTTAAAAACATATCGATTTTATATCTATATTAGCATTCTTTATCATTTATAATACCTAGATATGTTTTAAAATGCAATTTAAAGCATTTTTGGTATCGATCATAGGAGGCTATTTTTAAAAACATATCGATTTTATATCTATATTAGCATTCTTTATCATTTATAATACCTAGATATGTTTTAAAATGCAATTTAAAGCATTTTTGGTTTCGATCATAGTAGGCTATTTTTAAAAACATATCGATTTTATATCTATATTAGCATTCTTTATCATTTATAATACCTAGATATGTTTTAAATTGCAATTTAAAGCATTTTTGATTTCGATCATAGTAGGCTATTTTCAAAAAAGTATCGATTTTATATCTATATTAGCATTCCTTATCATTTATAATACCTAGATATGTTTTATAATGCAATTTACAGCATTTTTGGTTTCGATCATGGTAGGCTATTTTTAAAAAAAATATCGATTTTAAATCTATATTAGCATTCTTTATCATTTATAATACCTAGATATGTTTTAAAATGCAATTTAAAGCATTTTTGGTATCGATCATAGGAGGCTATTTTCAAAAA